GTAAACATAATTAGGACACAATGTGAACCCTGTCGGGCACAACAACATAAGTTTTGGAGGGAGCACACTTGACATATTATACGGAGAATTAAAAAAAAAAATATAATTAACATACAATAGAATTAATATCAAATGGAATACAAACTAGAGGTATAACTGAAATTGTAGTATTTAGGATTCAAGTTATTTTTAAATCTCAAACAATCAAAATTAAATACTAAGTCATAATAATAATAAAATAAAAAAAATCATAATCAAAATTAAATACAAAGTCAGAATCATAATAAAATAAAAAGTCATATTCAAAATTAAAATTAAAAATTAAAAACAGTCAAAATACCACCAAAAGAACAGTCAAATTAAAAACAGTCAAGATTTAAAGTTTAAATAAAGTCAAAATTAAAATGTTATAGCTAAAATGTAATTACCCACTAACAGATTTATTTTTTTATTTTTTTTTATTTTTATCAAAATTCAAATAATCTAAATTAACTAAATAAATCATCCGTACCTTTAACCAAGTGTACTTGTGGTCTGTAGACACAGTACTGTATGTCTTTAGACACATTACTTGTGTGCTCCTATAAATGTGTGTTTGTTATAATCTTTCTTTAAAATACTCTTCAATACTATAATAGGCCTTATTTAGTAGAAACTGTTTTAATTTCATCATAAATCTATTGTATTTATCTTCATTTTTTATTTCTTGAGGTAACTTATTGTAAATTTTTATTGACATGACTAGAGGTCCAGAAGAGTGTATTTTCAATCGTGATGTTGGTAGATTTAGTCTTTTCCTATGTCTCAGTGTGAAATTACATTGTGTGTGTTCTCTAGTGGAATAGAATTCAGGATATTTACGAACAAATTTGCACATTTCATAAATATAAATACAAGGTAAGGTGAGTATTTTTTGTTCCTGAAAGTGAGGTTTGCAACTGTTTGTTTCTTTGATATTTATTAAAATTCTTATTAACTTTTTTTGGATGAATTGTTTGTGAGTCTGTACTATTCCCCCATAATATTATACCATATTTAAGCCACGCATAAGCGTAAGCGTAGTAGGTGACGAGTGCGGTTTTTAAATCGGTGGTCTTTTTTATTTCTCGGAGTGCGTATGAGTACTTTGATATTTTTGCCTTCACTTTTTGTACATGACTTTTCCAATTTATGTTCGTGTCTATATCTATGCCAAGTAGAGTAAAATTATTAACGACTTCTAATTGTGAATTGTTATAGGTAAAATTAATATTTATGGAAGATTTCTGATGAGGGTGGAATGCAATTAATTTAGTTTTGCTGAGGTTTATTTCCAAGTTGTGTTCTGCCATCCACTTCGTAGTGATGTTAAGAATGGAGCCTAGTTTTTCGCTTACATTGGTGTTTGTTTCACAAGAAGTCAATATAGATACGTCGTCAGCAAATAGGACACATGGATCGTGGATATATGTTGGTAAATTATTAATATATATTAGGAATAGGAAGCATCCAATTACACTTCCTTGCGGGATTGAAGCGTTTATTGGCTCGATGTCAGATCGTATTCGTTCGATTTCGCTTGTTGAGTGATTATAATATTCAACTTCTACTAATTGTTCGCGGTTTTTTAAATAAGATCTAAACCAATCATAGCACTTTCCACGAATTCCGATATTATATAATTTTTGTAATAATATGTTAAACTGAACTCTGTCGTAGGCCTTTGTCATATCTATCAGTAGTCCTACAGCGTATTTTTTGTCATTAATTATGTTCAAGGCTTCCTGAATATATTTGTAGACAGCTAAAACTGTCGATTTGTTTTTGCGAAAACCATTTTGGTGGTCGTTAAATATTTTATATTTTTCGCAATAGGTCCCCGTTCACGATTTTCGGTAAAAAGCAAAAAAAAAATGTTGGTTAAAAAGTATCCTATGTCGGTCTCCTGGCTCTAAGCTACCTCCCTACCAATTTTCAACCAAATCTATTCTGCCGTTCTTGTGTTATAAGTGGTGTAACTAACACGACTTTCTTTTATATATATATAGATGTAATTATGGTCATTTAGTATTGTAGTTTCTTTTTAATTATATTTTATTAATTATTGCTTGTGTGTCTGTTTTGTCTATGGATATTGCTATTATTAACTTTGTTTGCATGTTTTGTTTAATGTAAGCAGCTTCTCGGTCACATTAGGTTATACCTGTAATCATAGATGTAAGTGTGATGATAAATAAACAAATAAATAAATTTAATTATCTGGTCGAATGTAAATAATGCCAAACAACAGCCACCACTGCCGTCTTGTCACTTTATTTTCCACATCTTTTTCCACTACTTTATAATTTTTAATCTATTCTCAATAATTTTTACCATAGCAACATTTTAAACCTCGACTAAAACAGTCAATCTATAACTGACTGACTTTGCCCCACTCATTCTATTTTCGATCTGAAAAAATCACCGGATCCATTTTATCTACCTGGCAACATTCGGCCATGTCATTCGGCGCCTTTAAAAGTCGGTCGTAAAAATAAAAAAGGGGGAGTCTATGGACAATAGAGTTGGGGGTAATTTTTCACACGTGTATAGAGTTATGTTCGGTGTAAGGGTTAGTTCATATTGGTAGGAAAGTGACCTTATTTTTGTCTTTTTACTCGACTGTAAGGAGTATTGTTTGCAAAGAAGTTTTTGGTATCTTGCATTTTCTGAAGAACGAATACGTATAGTGTGCTATTGCGATGAATTAAAATTTTCTTAATATTGATGTGAATATTAAAAGTTTAATAATGTTAAATAATATCCGACTCATGAATCTTACGCATTCGACGTTTATTGTACCTAATACTTTACCTAACTCAATTTAAAAATCGACAAAGAAGTAAGGCCGTAAAATATAAGAAATTGCTTTTACGAATTGAATCTCTATTGTGTGTTCCTACCTAGAAATAAAACTTTGGCAGTCAACCAACTTTTTCATACGTCAAGAGCAATTTCAGCTCAGCTATCGCCAACGTCCATACCATGTTGAAAACACCGGTTCTCGTCCGATCACCGAAGTTAAGCAACATCGGGCGCGGTTAGTACTTGGATGGGTGACCGCCTGGGAATACCGCGTGACGTTGGCTTTTTGAATCCTTTTTTTTCAATTTGTCTTTCGTATTACATAGGGTCATAAAATAATGCGATTAAATTAGGAATTTTATTATTGGTTACAATAATTAGTTGTATTAAAATTTATTTTATTTTGTTGCGATTAAGTAGGAGTATTGTAAAAAAAATTGGAAAATGAAAAACCAACCGCAATACGTGTGTACTCGCATCAATAACAAAAAAAAAAATTAAACTGGAGTGGGTTTAAACAATGTATTGAAGTGTCCATTATTGTATAGTTTAACAAAATAATACGGAGGTATAAAGTAGTTAAAACAATTGAATTCTGTTCGACAATCATATTGAATTACCGACTATTTATTTAGAGAGACTATTTGTAGTTAATATAATCGAATTTCAGTGCAATCGAGTATTATTTACCCGGTACTTGAAGGTATTTACCGGGTTAATTTAGATAAATTATTAATTAATTAGGTATTGTTATTTCATTATTGTTATTTCGGCCCCAAATTTATGTATTTTCTGCGTGCGTCCCCTTTGTGGTAGCATCCGCATATTCTGGATCAAATTGATCAAATTATCCGTGACACCTTAACTTCACTTTTGAATGCATCTATGAACGATCGTGTTTGGCTTCAAACCACGTTTTGCAGCAGTATAAACGTCATTATCCGTCCGCTGTGCCAGCTGTTCTAGAACCAAAGGGTTTGGCGTGCGACAATGGTTAGGGACCCGACGGTATGTCCATTATGCCTTGGAAGCTGGGAAGGTCTTTGGTGTGGGACGCAACCTGCGTCGACACCCTTGCACCTTCTCATCTTCCAGTAAGGGCGGGTTGTGCTGGTTCGGCTGCTGCCTCTGCAGAAAACCTCAAGCGGCGCAAGTATAACAACCTTGCTGGTAGTTAGTTATATCTTTGAGCCGTTTGGGGTTAAGACGTTAGGTCCGTGGGGTCCGAGTGCGCTTAAATTATTCTAAAACATTTCGAAACGCCTGGTCGACGCATTTCGTAACCAGAGGGCTGGTGTTTTTCTCGGTCAGAGGTTAAGCATTGCCATACAATGTGGCAATGTAGCCTTCTGGGTACTTTCCCTACTGACATCGATGCGGACGAATTTTTCGATGCTTTATGTAAATAGTTGTTTTTAGTTTTATTTTAATTAATTTTTATCTTAAGTTGTACATATTTAATTTAGTAATAATTAGTATTAATTTTATTTAAGTTTATATTAAATAACATGGTGCAAATGTGCAATGGAATGGAAATTGAAAGTAGATTCGGTTACTAATTAGTAAAGTCGCCTTTTAAACAAATATAACCTGTGAAATCGCATATAAAATTCGAATTCGGAAAAATATTATAATTATTATTCTTTAATTTAAAAATTATACAATTTAAATAAAAGTATAATTAAAAACAAAAATTTTTCTTCTTTGTTTTTACTTGGTGGTCTTGTAGCTCAGCATTGAAAATATACTGATTGAAAACGTCGATGTACTTGAACTTAATAGGGCGATACAACAATATGTTACAAAATTTACAATAAAAATCGGTAAATTCCTACGATACGAGTTCTTTTTTTAAAAAAACGTTGCGCTATACTAGGATTTTCTCCTGTATCGTGGGTGCGTTTACAAACATACAAGTTCACATACACAATGACATCCAGACCCAAAACAACAATTTGTGGATCACACAAAGTGTCGTTCCGAGCGGGAATCGGACCTGTGTCACGTTGCACGGCAGCCGGTTGCCGAGCTACCGCTCCAGCCGTGCAGTCGAGTTATAGGTAGTGACTCATAACCTATAACTCGACAGACATTAACATTTCTTAACCATAATACCTTCACTAGTCCAAGTATTACAAGAAAAAAAAAACATTAAAATAGCGTCGCTCTGCCTACACCCTAAAGCCATATAACTATTACCTGTTATTGGGAAGTAATATCGTTCTATTGTCAGAAAATTTCGCTGTATCGAGTGACTAGCGAATTTAATTCAACGATAAAACTGTTATTTGACACTTTTGTTTGGTTTGTTGTAGGATATGTTGGAAATAGGATTAAATAACCACATTAATATGTTGACACGGTTTATTTTGTACTAGCTTTTACCCGCGGCTTCGCTCGCGTCACAAAAGGATAAAAAGTAGCCTATGTGACATATACCAATATACACAGCGCCATCTATACCAATACTTTTGTTTTCCCTCGGGAATATCACATTTTTCCAGGATAAAAAGTACCCTATTATTTAATCCGGACTTCTAACTTTACGTCTGTAAAAATTCAAAGCAATCGGTTTAGTAGTTACGGTGTGAAAGCGGAACAAAAAAACAAACAAACAAATATTAGTAAGGAAATAAGGATTAGTTAGGTACAATGTAGAATTGTAGGTTAAATAAATAATGATAACTTTGACTGTCTCGTTGGCCAAGTGGTCGCAAGTGCGACTGCGAGACCCCTTGCCCGGCGCAAGGGGTCTCGGGTTCGATTCCCGGGTCGGGCAACGTAATACTGGGTTTTTAAAAAAATCTCAGTAGTAGTACGAAGTCTGGAAATGTGCTCGATTTATGGCAATGATCTCACCCCCTATTACATGGGACTCAACATAAATAGTGAAAAGTGGGTGTTACATTGTACAGTGGCATAATTAACCCTACCTAGCCTACCCCTTCGGGAATAAAAGGCGTAATGTTATGTTTTGATAACTTTTGATGTGGGTTCGAAACCTACCAACGGTAAGTATCAATGTGTCTTTTTCCGAGTTATGTGTACTTTCTAAGATTATCTAGACATCACTGACGAACGTTTAAGGAAAAAAAATTGTGAGGAAACCTGGACTTCGTCTAAATATAAGTTTGAAATCGTGATTAATGTTCAAACCTTCGCCGTGCGAGAAGAGGCTTTGCTTAGCAATGGGCAGTTATAGGCTGTTGGTGATTGATGTTGATGATGACTGCTTGGTGGAGTGGTCACTACACGTATGACTGCTAACCAAGAGGTTTCGGGTTAAGTAATCGGGTAGAGACAAGCATTATAGGATTTTACAAAGAGTTTAGAATCAAGTATATATAACCTTAACCCATGAAGATAAAAAACCATTACCTTACGTCACAACACTAATGAAAGAAAGAAAGAAAGAAAAACAAATATAAAAAATAAAAATACAGATACTTACATAAACAAAATCACTACATAGTATAAAACAAAGTCGCTATCCGCAGTCTGTCTGTCCGTATGTATGCTCAGATCTGTAAAACGACGCAACGGATTTTGATGCGGTTTTTTTTAAATAGATCGAGTGATTTTTAAGGAAGGTTTATATGTATAATACATGCATATTGTACCCGTGCGAAGCCGGGGCGGGTCGCTTGTATTAATAATAAACTTAAAAGAGTAGAGAAAAGAACAAAAAACATCACAGTATGACAAAATAATGTACAATACGATGAAATTAAATATAAAAAAAAAACAAAATAATAATATTAAAGTGCGCGTGCTCATGCCAAAAGGGCCTCCACACCCTGATTACTTACAATAATGAATTAAACACATCACTATAACACAATTTATCATTGCACCAAACAACGAGACTACCATGTTTATTTTTCTGACAATAATAATAATTGCTTTCCCATCTCCCAATACTTCGAATATTTCGAACAGTTTATTGTTTTTGTCCATCAAATGCAGTTGATGCAATTCATTATGAGAATCCAGTAGGACATTTTTAATTCAATGTAATTACGTTGCAATGCCGACGAATGCGTTGACATGTGACAGAGTGGGGAGCGACAGTTGCAGCCAATACATTAAGATTATCGTTTTATGAACTTATAATAAATTAAAATAAAATTATTTATTATTTACTAGCTTTACTCAAACTTACCTATGAAGTGAAGGCGTAATTACACTACCTATTTACTACCTCAGTACTACCCACTTATAAGTGTGGTAGAGCAATGCTTCGGCATGAACGGGCCGGCTCGACCGGAGTAATACCACGGTCTCACAGAAAACTAGCGTGAAGCAACGCTTGCGTTGTGTTTTGTCATGTGAGTGAGGTTGCCGGTGGCCCAATTATCCCCCCCCAATCTTCCCCAATTTCTTCAATCCATGAATCCTCAAATCCTAATCCCTAAAAGGCCGGTAACGCACTTGTGACGCCTCCGAAGTTCCAAGTGTCTATGAGCGACACCGATTGGTTACCATCAGGTGATCAGCCTGCTCGTTTACCGACTTGTCCCATAAAAAAATCCATTAATGAAAATTTTGTAAAAGGTCGTACTTTTTTAGTTTGTCGCATTTGTACTTTTGACTGGTAAACTGACAGACGACGATACGGGATCATGGATACCTGCAACACCATTGTGGTCAAACGCGTTTCATTGAATTAAAACTTATCCCACTTACGTGTATCCACCTATCTAACATTCTAAACTTATATTACATCACATCAACAGTCTATAAGTGGCCACTGCTGACCAAAGGCCTCCTCTCACACGGAGAAGGTTTTAGCATTAATCACCACGCTTGCTTAATACGGGTTGGCGATTTCAAACTTATAAATAGAAATTATAAGCTCAGGTTTCCTCACGATGTTTTCCTTCACTGTTTGTCAGTGGTGTCTAAATAGTCTTAGAAAGTACATACAACTCGGAATATGTGCCATTGGTACTTACCGTTGGTAGGTATCGAGCACACGTCACGTGGTCATGCATGAGACTTATCTACTCAATTTTAAGTCGCGCTTAAGTATAGTTCTGTCCCTACAAATTCTTTGTAAAATAACAGAGATGGCACGATATGAGTTACGTTTCAGTATTCCTGCATTAACCTTACATTCTAAACTTAAAATACATTCAAATTCTAAATCCACCAAAGATAACAAATCCATGTATCGTTATTCATTATTTTAATCGATTTTCCTTGGAAAATTATTCATGAAATGCCATACTAATCCGTTTTATACATAACCGATCCGGCCGCAGAGATACTCCGTCAAAATCCTTGGTGAACCAAGTCATATGCAAATTTGTGTTTCGTAGCCGGCCGGATTGGTTTCAATAGGTTACTACTGGATCGTTTGCAAGCAAAACCGAGGCAACAAATAGTATTGTATTCGTTAGAAATCTATCCGTAGTCATTTATATGGAAATCTCTGTAGGTTTTGTTGTTAGATTTTGATTGTAGAAATGTTTGAAGGTAATTTTTATTATCAGGTTCAACGCTATGGTTGAAGTTATGATATAGAATTCAAGAAGGTCTAATAAGACCTATTAAAGTTTAATGTTGAAAATAAACTGTGACTAACGAATGTTGCTTGGCAGTTGCATTTAAGATACCTGGTCCAATTAAGCTGTTTAAAAAAAATTAATGATTTTATTGACTGACCCAAAGATCTCATCCACTCGTAGGTGCGTTAACAAGTATACAAGTTCACATACACAACACACCCAGACCCCGAACAACAATTTGTGTATCACACAAAGTGTTGCGTCGAGCGGGAATAGAACCTGCTACAGGTTGCGCAGCAGTCGGTTATCCAGCCACCGCGTCAACCGTGCAGTCAGCTGCAAATCACAGCTGCCCCATTATATCTATCTTTAAAATAGTATCAAGTAATTCTTGTGTAGGTACACACAAGGACCAACGTGGTCCTTCGTGCTATATTAAATTATGGTATCTAATATCTAATACGAAGTCAGTATGGTTGTTTGTCCAAACCGCATGGATATTGGAGTAATAAACTTGAGATATGAGTAAATATTATTGAGGTACCGTCGTTCGGTACCCACTCGAGGCAATATCGTCTTATTTGGAATCAAAACTGATTCGTATTACATGTTTTGGGAAAATATTTTGATATAAAAATGTCATCGTTTAAAGAAATGGTACGTTTGAAGATGTTGAATCTGTTTTCGAAAAATAAGTCACGATTTTACGGAAGGTACGTCTTTAAATATATACATACTTTAAGTGGCGGAGAGCCATGCTTCGGCACGAATGGGCCGGCTCCACCAGAGTGATACCACGGCCTCTCAGAAAACCGATGTGAAACAACGTTCTGTTGCGTTCTGTTTCGTCGTGTGAGCGAGGTTACCGAAGGCCTAATTACCCCCTTTACCTAGTCTCATCCCCAATTTCAAATTCTCAACTCCCAAAAGGCGAGCAAAAGCTTAACACACTGCTAACACCTCTGGTGTTCCAGGTGCATGGGCGGCGCCGATTGCTTACCGCCGTCAGGTGATCCGTCTGCTCGTTTACCGGTTAATCTCATAAAAAAAACAATATTTACTCGAAAGTGAAGAAACAGGACTATTCAAGAATTGTTTTATCGAAAACTAATAATGTTTTGACAGAAAAATAAAAGCAAGACCCAGCTATTATTAGACCAAAGAAACAATCTTGATGTCGTCTACACAACTAAACATAATGAAAAATCAATATTTCAAACAATTCCTACTAATATTATACATTTTTGCGTTTGTATGTCTGTTCGTTTGTTACTACTTCATGTTAGAACGGCTGAAGGGATCGGGATGAAATTTGGAATAGGGATCGATTAACATAACATAACATCAGGCTTTTTTATCCCTGAAAGGGTAGGCAGAGGTGCACATTTCAGCACTTATGTAATGCCACTGTACAATATAACACCCACTTTTCACTATAAATGTTATGAGTCCCATGTAATAAGGGGTGAGCTTATTGACATATACCGGGCACATTTCCAAACACCGTGCTACTACTGAGATTTTTAAAACCCAGTAATACTTAGCCCGACCCAGGAATCGAACCCAAGACCCCTTGCCCGGCAGTCGCATTTGCGACCACTCGGCCAATGAGGCAGATCGTGGATAGATAGGGATCGATTATGGTCTGGATTAACACAGACTACTTTTTGTCCAACGAGACCGTGGGCAGAACCTGGACAGAAGCTAGTTAAATTATATATTTTT